GCATTGAGTCCTGTGCAAACTTTTGCTCGGTGCTGCGCTAAAAGAATCATTTTTGGTTCCCCTCTTCTTTTGAAGTGTGAATGAAAGATACAGACTTCAGTTGCCTTTGTATACAGTGGTACGTGGAGGGGGTGGTGTAAATAAATATTTTGTTTTCAAAAGAATATACAAAGTCAGCAGTTGAGCGTTTCTATTGTTCTCTTGGGTCCCCTCTGCTGCTTATTGTTGTTGCTAACTGCTGACTCAAGTTTCACTGTGGCCACTAAAATGATAATGTTTAAATCACCTGGAAAAAGTTTCCCATGTTTCCTGTTCACTCATCCAGTGTTTCATAGTTCATGTCCATATTTCAGTTACTGCTTAAACAACTTTGAGAGATTTATTGTTTCAAAAACGGCACAATTTTTTTTTAATAAAACGAGTAGTTGATTAGTAGAAAACAAATCAGGGACAACTGAAATCAGCCACTTTATTGCTGTCAGCTTCTCAAATGCAGATGTTTGGTGGTTTCCTTTGTCTTCTGCAATAATTGGATACGACAAAAAAAAATATCATGTTACTTTAGGCTCTCACAAAGCTCTCCTACAAATCTGTCATTACAACTAAAATGATTTATTTGATAAGAACATTATCAGCAGTGGGAAGATTATGTTGCTGCCATCTTTGTCTCGTGGTCCAAACAAATGTTTTTGCACACCACACAGGTCAGAACCTTATTTACACCAAATTCTAACCATAAAGTCAGCATCGCGTCATGATTTATACTTTTAATGCTTCATGTTTGGTAGTGAGGTTGAAGCTGAGGGTTACGAGTGTGGTGAAATACATCAAACGCCAGGGTGTAAGCAAATAGCAAAGAAGCAACAGATTACAAGATACCTCTGCCCATAGGCTGAAAATATGTCTTTTTCCCTAAAATTAACCGTAAGGTTATTAATGATATGAATAAATCATAGTCCTGTAACTTTCGACTTTATGGAATATAGTATATTAACTTAAACATCACAGCAAAAAGCGACAAACTCTGATAGTCCTGTTAGGATAGGTAGGATAAAAGGTAGGATACCTTTTGCCCTATGAGAGCTCGCTCCAGCCTCCCACTAATTGGAAATTGGAAAAGCAGTGAAGAAAAAGGATGGACTATCACTAATCGCCCCCTTCTCCAGTGGTACAGTCCACTCAGGCTTTAGAAACCACGAGTCAGGTGGTTGAATTTTTTTTATCACCTTATTGCTCCTTCACCATCCCCTCTTTGAGTCTGACCTTTTGTAACAGTGAAAAGTTTTCACTCAGAAAACTGCTGCGGTTTGAGATTCACGTGTAACGCAACTCTTGGGAAACTTCCAGCTGTCTTGTGAAATGTTGCGAAGCTTTTCTACATTTCTTACTTTTAACATAACAGGAAATCAGTTTGACACCAAGAAAGCTAATACGCGCCTCTCTCACCCCAGCAGCAATCGACTGCAGCTGACTGACAGCAGCTCGCTCCAGTTTTATTGTTTCCTTCAGTGTGTTCTTTACCTTCCTAGACTGAGCCTCAATATTTATGTTCATGCACCCAACTCGGAGTTTATTTCGTTGTGCTGTCTTCGGGTTTAAAATGTCAGCTGATAATTTCTGTTTACAAAATCACAAACTTCTGTCTGCTGTCGCTCGCTGGGCCTGCAGACTCGCTGTCTGCAGGCCCGAGATTTAGTTTACATAAACACAGCAGAGATTGAATTGATTGCTTAAGAAAAACTTTGTCCACTGTTAATTGCTTAATAACGGGTTAATGAAAATGAGTAATTTAACCCCACCTTTCTCCACCTTCCGCAGGAGCGGGAAGAAAAGGTGAGGCTTCAGGCTCAGATCAAGAGACTCTGGGAGGACAACCAGAGACTGCAGGAGGAGTCCCAGACCTCTGCTGCCAAGCTCAAGAAGTTCACCGAGTGGGTCTTCAACACCATCGACATGAACTGACTCCCACCTCCACATTTTAACCTACACACATGCACACAAATGCAAACATGAGCGCACACACACGCACACACACTCTGGATAAAGAGGCAGAGGAGGATCGACACTCACGAGGAAACAGGAGATTGTTGTTGTTGGACTTGAATTATCCTGATGCTGAATCCGTCAACCATCTTCCATTGGCTTCAGCCATCAGTGGGTAATGCCGTCGACCAGTCTCGGTCTCTCCTCGCAGACCCTCTGTTAAACTTAGGAAGATGACACTCAAGAAAATGGGTGTCATTCTCACCTATGAGAGCTGTTGAATTTGTCTTTCTCTCGTGTGACAAAATCTCTTTTCGTAAATTGCCGACAAGGAGAAAGCACTTCACACCCTCCACCTTCTAAAGAAGTCAACTTTGCCTCTTGCGGTTGTTCCAGCGGTGCACGCAAAGAAGCTCCGCCTCCTATCTGTAGATTTTGTTCCACGTGGACGTGCTTCTCTTTTTAGAACATTTATTCTTGTTTTTTTTTTTTTAATATTTTTTCCCAGCAAGTCTTTTTAAATGATGCCCAGCTGCTCTAAAAGGGGACTCGAGTCCTTTATGCCAAATCTCAGCTGCCACAGGATGGGTGGGGTGGGGTTATAGAGACACCAAGGTGATTTGAATGAAAGTCTCTTAAAAATGGTCCCGCAAAGTCAAGACGGGTCCAGCTACTGGAACACAAATGACCGCATGCAAACACACATACAGAAACGATCAATATGAAACCACAAGAGCAGAGGACACATGAGAGGTTTTCACTTCGTTCACACTTGCCTGCCCTCCCCTCGAAGGCTGAAACCACCGGACGGTCGCTCTGGCTGTTCGACCGCAGCCACCCACACGGAAACAGGTCACTCTGCTTCAGCACAGGAGGGATTTGTACAGTTTCTCTTTTTCTTTCTCTCTCTCGATCTCACTTTCTCTCTTCTGTGTCAGTCAAATCTGGATTACAACATCCTTTCTGTCTTCACAGCACAAACCTGACAGAGGGGGATATTTAAAAGCCATCGGCAAGCGATGCCACTTAAAAAAAAAAACAACAACAACAACAAAAAAACAAAAAATACAAAAAAAACCCAGGACTGATCCGTAGTGCTTTGGTCCCTCCCAATTATATGTGTCTTAAAAGCAATAGGAAGAAGTCAGGACTGTCTTAAGAGACGCCTCAAGTGGGAAAAGATGATTTGGAGCTTACAAGGCTGCCGATTTGTGCTGCACAAGAGCCTTTATCCTTTCCCACTGAACTGTGAGGGGGGAAAAGGAAAGTGAGAACTCTAAACATCATCCCACTGTCTGCAGAGACAGCTGCTGATTAAAAGTGACAGAGACATTAATGAGATGGAAAAGTTGGAATGTTGTTTTTTCCTCCCCCAGGTTTATTTATTTCCTTGTATTATAATCCAATAAATACGTTGTTCTATTCGTATAGTACAACTGACATCAGTGTTTAGTTCCTCAAGACAAACGGTCACTAGCTATATTATTTAAATGGCTTTCTTTCTTAATTCTGGCTAAAGCCTGACTTATATGGTTTTTATTCTGTATTCTGTTGTATTTTGTGGTGCCCAAGCCTGCTGTCGTGTTGCTTACAGTGCCCTCTAGTGGTGACCAGTGGAAGTGTCATGATTTGTAAATGTGCTGCCAGTCACTCTGTATTTTTCTAACGCCTCTTCCGCAATCAGTCAGACATCAAACCGTGGAGGCCACACAAACAGGACAGGAGGAATAATCAGAAGCCAGCCTTGAGAGACAATCACAGGTGTATTTTTGATAAAAAAGGAGCAGACCTAAGGTGTGTGTGTGTCTGTGTGTGAGTGTGTGTGTGGATGTTGTGTCTGCAGAGCATTTATAGTTTTCCTCAGGTTCAGTTTATGTGAGAATGTGAGGAATCAACAGAAATTGCATATGTGGCTATCTGTTAGGGGGGGCTACAGTATCAGCTGTACCCGTGTGTGTGTGTGTGTTGTCATTGTGTGAATGTACATCAGTCAATCCAGCCGTGCCTACAGTCACTTATCTTGGTCATTTACTCCGAGGCAGAGCAGGGACATGCCTTTGAAACAGCACCTGGGGAACAGATAAAAGGGAAAGGCTCTTCTCCTTCATCCTGAAAGATAAGCACACCTGGTACAGTAACACGCACTCACCAGATACGATTTTAATTTGAGTTCACACTCACAGTCGTCGACTCGGCTGAGAGGCTTCATCCTTTCATTTGCTCAGATGCTTATTTCTCCTCTTCAGTCAGTCAGGCCAGCCTCCCGACACAGTGACAAGTATTTGTGGAAGTCTGTCTGCATGTGTGCCTTTGCATTCAATTACTTGAGCCACTGGCTCCTGTAATACAAGTGTGCCGGAAGACAGGTTGTCTTTTTTTTCTTCCCCCACATCACAAAGCTGCTTACAACACAAGCAAGAGTCACAGCTGGGTGTTTGACACGACAACAGGGGCGTTGAGGTCGAAGCCTACGCGTGTCCATTTAAACTTGGCGAAAGCCTTAATTCCCCCGCGCTAAAGTTTTTGACTCGCCCCAAGTAAATTTGCATCTCACATTGATGCAATTAGAAGCCCTGCAGCGCACAGCACAAATGATCTCCCAGTCTGAATGTAAAGAGAATATAAACGAGCCTAAAGAAATATGATGTTTACTATAACCGACATGCTCATTAAGCTCTGCAGTTTCGCAGAGACACGAGTGGACTGTTAGCAAAAGTTTTGGTTCTGTTTTAGGAATCTCCCGTCAGTCTGCGTGGACGACAGTTACACCAGTAAATAGTCAACACCAAATTTGGTCTTTTCCCCCCCTTTTTTTAAGTTTAAGTTTTTCAAGCTGGCCAGTTGTGAAAACGAGTCATCCACTAATGTGAAATCCTTGAAATATTAATGAAAAAGGTGAGTCCTCTGGGCGCAAATGGGCCCCTATCCGTAAAGTGTTGACTGTAAATTATATACCATGTACACTGGGTTTCTGTCCGAAACTATATCAGTGATTAAAATTTTTAAATTAACTAAAAGCAATGTTTATATTTTATTGTAAAAGGAAAGTGGTCAAGGTTAATTTTTTTTTTGTATTTTAAATGAAGTATGGCCAAATGACAGAACGTGCAGTGCAGATGTTTTGCTTGCATCTAAGTGTGCATCAACTTGGATGTTAGATTCAGTTTATACTAAGTCAGAAACAAACGTAAGCCGGTCTGGGTTTTCACTCGTCTTTGTTACCTTGCAGTGAACGTGGGTTTTCTCTCCTCGGCGTTGTTTTTGCTGCTTCACTGAATGATATCAGAAATTTGAATGTTCAGATTGTCTTTTTCTTTTTTTTTTTTTTTTTTTTTTTTTTTTTTTGCAATATCTTATTTTTGAGATTCTTTGCACAACAATGTGTTTTACATTAAAGAAAAAAAGCAGTGTGTTTACAGGTTTTGGATATAAAAAGGGTGAATTGATGGATTCCTGTGCAACCTTGTCTACAATGTTGCTCTGTAGTTTTCCCTGCCAATGCAGCTCCTGACAAACAGGTGCTTTATAACTTTATTCCTCAAGCATCACTGATCAGACGAGAGGAGGTCGTATGTTGTGTAAACTGTAGGGATGCTGGGTTTCAGTGATTGAAGCAGGGGAGGAAGGTTTCCCAGAGCTCGGAGACGCAGCCCTGCACTGCTGAGTCTTGATCTGTTTTGTTTGCTCCTGCTGGAAGAACAGAGGAAACGGTGAGGTGATCCGCTCTGACTGGAAACAAAGCACACTATTTTAAGAGGACCATACGTTTTAAACAATTGAAAATACTGTTTACATCCCAGATCCATTGTCTTTGTAAAATGTAAAGGTATGAATAAGACATTTGCAGTGATCACAGTATTAAGGTTTCTGAAATAAATAAATAAATAAATGCTGTGTCGATTTTGTGGTGCTGTCCGTTTATTTGTGTATCGTAGATATTGGAATATCCTCACTTGCCTTTATCAGTTACCATTTTCCTCACTGATGCATACGGCATACAGTAAGATGAACTCTAGTCAGCACATATACACTCATGCCACTTTATTAGGTACACCTGTTCACCTGCACGTGAAAGATGTCTAATCAGTGCATTTAGATATGAAGCTTGTGTGTAGTTTCAGTAAAGATGGGTAATCATGGACCTGTGCTTTTCTGGGTGTTTGGCTGCTAGTCTATTCTTTAACTCACTTCCCCACACTTTAAAACTCGATGCTGACATCATTGGTGTAGTCTAGCTGTTTCTTTCTCCCGGCTAGTCCTAAGTAACGCCCCTCCCTCCTGCCCACCTTTGGGATGTGACGGAATTGCTTCAGACCATGTGGAAATATGTTGCAACTGTGTGATGTCACCTAAATTAGCAAGGCGTACTTAAAGAAGTGGCCGCTAAGTGTAATGTTGTTTCAGAAACAGGCAGTCCCTCACAAATTCAACAGCTATAGGTACATATATAACTAAGCATCTGACCAGACATCCCCCTTTAGCTCGAATAAATTAGTCTGACTTTTGACAGTTTGAGGGCAGATACCAAAGGAAGTTTGTCACTTTTAAAGCGATGATACGTACACGACCACCTACTGCGGCAGCAGCACATTCCCTCCAACGGATGAGCTGATCTCGGCGCCTTTTGTGCCATTTCCCTCTACGTTTTTGGAAAATCAAACATAGTATTAGTTCAAGCAGGGCACAAAGTGCAGCTTAGTCCTTTTCATGCTCTCTTTGAATTAACATCCTCTTTTAACTGCAGGGGTTCTGTGTGTAATTAAGTTTAGCAAATTGCACAAGCCAGTCTTCCTGGGGTCCAACATTAAAAACATACACCGACACATTTTAAAAGGGAATTACAGGCACTTTAATTAAAAGCACTACAAAAACAGTAATGTGACAGTCTCATCTAAATTAAGTTCCACAGGTAGACGGAATGTTTTGTTTATCACAAAAGAAGCGTGGCGCATATTTTACTGTAACAAACTGCATGAAGTGGAGACAACTTGCTTTTTAATTTATCATCAATAGTTCCTTCATGCTGCGTCCAATCAAATAAAACAGCTGCAAAGTCTGGAGTTTACTTGTGACCAAAAAAATAAGTATTTTCTGTGTTTCCTGTGCTGTCTGATTGTAGCTTGCAGTGAGTAACTAGAGTGAGGAGATGGTGAGAGGTCTGGGATTTGACCTGCAGTTGCCTCAGGCTCCTGTTGTTCCCCATCACTGATTCACCTGATTGCATTTTAACCGTTCTCACAGCCAGAGCCAGAAATTGCATCAACTGTGTTTTCTTTTTTTTTCTCATTATGCTGTAGCCACTTCTGAAAGCAGTGAGAGGAAATCATAGTAATACAATTTAAGCCCCCCCTCCCCAGATAACAGGGAATAAAGGTATTTCTCCACAACAGCTGTCCTGATATCCATCTTGGTTACTTTAGTCCATTAGTGCAGTACAGTTTCATAGGAGAATCTGTTATTTTGAGGGCTGTAATAATACAAAATTAAGTGAATTTTCTGTATATGAAGTCACCATCACCACCAAAAGGTTATCAAATGATTATGACTTCTTTTTTTTTAATAAAATAAAATTGCCCTGACATTTCTTTGCCACCGGGTAAGAAAAAGACGCAAACATAAAGCATAACACACATTAATATACTGCTCAAAAGGGCTGCGGGGCATTATGTATAGTATAGGTCCGTCTGATGCAACCAAATGGCGCCACAGACTGTCCAGGAGCTCACTGGTCCCCTGATCCGGGACCAGAAGGAGATTCGTCGGGACCAATCCCAGATGTTTTCTCATTCCAACAGCAGTGCAGTGACTGGGACATGAAAAAGGCAAACTGGAGTAAAATCAATCACCAGTGATCTGTGGCCATCACCTGCAAAAATTCTTACCTCTTTGGAGGTTGTCTTGTCGTTACCTCTCCAGTGCACCTGTTGTCTGGAATGATTATTATCCTTGAAGTTTAACAAATCCTCTTAAAATAACATATGGATTTTGTTTTTTTTAAAAAAAAAACAACCCATCTGTTTCATTGACACATAAGTCAAATTGTTCATTGTCATGGTTTAACTGTCGGGTTTAGCTCTGTTTCCGTGTCATCACCACACTAATAATATACGTTCACCCTTTCATTCATGACTTCTGTAGAAATGAGCATCTCATCTGCGCACGGAGGAAGTCATGCAGGTATAAGCAGACTGTGAAGGGCAAACTGCCTCGCTGGTAAATCACCTCTGATCCAAAGCGTTTGTTTTCCTCTCTGTCCCCCTGCAGCGATGCTCGGGGCTGTTTGAGACCAGCGAGGCAGTCGCTGCAGTGTCAGAAGCGAAGACAGGATGAGGAAAGGTATAATGTGGAGGAGGACACCGATTAGTCATCTTTGATAAAAATGTGGGGGCTGAGTCACCTGGACTTACTTTCAGGATTTGTTACTAAGAGAAGTATAGGAGAGCTG